AAAAAAAATACATCCACTCTTTTTCTGTCAGTGTTTGGTTTTAGGATCTGTGTGCCTAAAACAAGCCATTTCAAAAAGCCCCCATTTGTGATGTCATAAACAAGGAAATGGGTATAGAACGCTGTTTACGTATTATAACCCCAGATTCTATGAGTCTAGTCGCAGCCCTTAAGCTAGCTGCTATTGGAAGGATGATCTCAGCATCAGCCAATCATGAAGAGCTTAAATGTACGCCCACCAATGGTGGGCACCCCTGTGGGTATACAAGTGGAGCGACTCCACTGTTCGCCTCCGATGGCTCTTAGTCCTACAGAACCAGTGGGGCCATTTGCTTAAGGGCTGCGACTAGACTCATAGAATCTGGGGTTACGATACGTAACTAACGTTCTATTTCATCTAGTCTTAGCCCTTAAGCTAGCTGCTATTGGAATAACGCGCAGCTGGATGGGTTTACGCCACACTGGTTAGCTCAACCAATGGACACACCCAACATGTCTCCTTTTAGTGAGGGTCGCTCAGCCTCAGCCCAGGGCTTAAAAGGCTGAGGCAGCCAGAGAGAAGAGTGGGGCCCCCACTAAAAATATTATCCACAAGAGGATAAAATTCATTCAAGTAGGGCTGATGTGGAGCCATAATGCTTTCACTCAGCCTGCTGAGGTCCAAGCACTGAACGAGTGATGGATCCTGAAGACACATTTCGTAAATAATAACGAGTAAAGGAACAGGGTGAAGCCCATGAAGCAGCCTGACAAATGTCTTCCATCGACACACCACTGTGGAGCGCCATAGAAGAGGAAATCCCTCTGGCTGAGTGAGCCCTGAGTGTCTCAGGAGGATCCCGCCCTGATGATGTGTAAGCGAGTGAAATGGCGTCACATAGCCAGTGTGAAAGACGCTGGGTCGACAGCGCTTGCCCAAGGGAAGAATCTCTGTAGTGCACAAACAGGCTTTGTGAGCGGCGAATCCCTGAAGTGCATGACACATATCGTGCGAGCGCACGCACCGGGCAGAGAAGGTGGGAAGCCGCCTCCTCATCAGAATTATGGGGAGGAGGAAAACGTCCAGCCAATGAAATTGACCTGGATTTGAAGGAAGTATTAATGTTTTTGGGCACAAAGGCTGGGTTGGGGCATAAAACAGCAGACCCGCCATCTTCCCGAATCCTGAGGCATGCGGGAGTCACTGAGAGGGCGGTTAGGTCGCTCACTCTCTTGACTGATGCTAGCGCCAGCAGCAATGCAGTTTTAAGCGACAGGAACTTGAGTGAGACCTGGTCCAAGGGTTCAAATGGGGCTTCAGATAAGCCACGCAGAACCACCGTTAGGCCCCACTGGTGAAATAGCGGGCGGGACACAGGCCTGTTCCTTCTGACACCTTTCTGAAAAAGTTTTGTGAGGGGATGATTGAAAACAGATCTATCTCCAAAACCTTGGTGACAGGATGAGATAGCTGCAGCATATGTTTTAATAGTGTTGAATGCGAGGCCCCTGTCCATCAGCATCTGCAGAAACGATAGGACATCCGCCAGCTGGCAGGAGAGCGCTTGAACATTCCGCTCTGTGCACCGTTTCTGGAAAGCTGCCCATTTAGCAGCATAAGATGTGACGGTAGAGGGCGCCCGCGCACTCTGAATCATGGCGACCACATCATGCGGCAGCCCAGAAGCCTCTAAGCATGATCGCTCGGCGGCCAGACCCACAGCCGTTGGCCTATTTCTGGAGGATGTTTGATTATCCCATCCGCCTGGAGAAGGGCGTCCGCCCTCCACGGGAGCCTCCACGGGAGCCTCCACGGGGAGCCGGACACTAGCGCTTGCAGGTCTGGAAACCATGACGCGGACAAGCGTCTGGGAGCTACCAGAATTACCGAGAGCTGTTCCGACCGAACTCGGTCCAGGAGACGGGGGATCAGTGGGACTGGCGGAAACGCATACAGGAGCGTCTGAGGCCAGGGATGGTGTGAGAAGGTGTTCACTCCGAGTGGGGGGTGGTCCCCGGTACTCAGGGAAAACCACAGGGCGTTTTCGTGAGCCGCAAACAGATCCACAGAGGGTTCCCTGAACTTGATCCATATCTGTGATATCAGCACGGGATGCAGACGCCAGTCGGAGTCGCGGGGTCCCCCTCTCGACAGGATGTCTGGTGCCACATTCAGGACCCCTGGAATGTAGGTGGCTTTGATGGACAGCAGGTGGACATGTGCCCAACACAGTAAATCTGTGGCTATGCGCAATAGTGGGAGGGATCGAACTCCCCCTTGGCGATTTATGTAGGCTACCGCCACCTGGTTGTCTGCGTGAACTTCGACATGACGGCCCTCGAGAAGGGCAGCGAAGTGTCTGATCACATTCCTCACTGTCATAAGCTCCAACACATTTATGTGCTCGTGCTTGTGGGAGGGCCAGTGATCTTCCACCGTATGGGACAAGCACGTGCCCCCCCATCCCAACAGTGACACATCCATAAACACAGATACATGTGACGTAGGACGTCCGATGGGGACCACGTGTGAGAGGATGCAGGGATTCCCCCAGTGAGCGAGGTCCCCGCCCACTGAAGGGGGAACCCTCAACATACAACTCTTCTGACGTATCGGGTGTACCCGGAGGTGGATGAGCCAACTCTGCAGGCGCCTCGTGTGCAGTAAACCTAACGGCACCACAGCGTGGGCTTCAGCCATCATGCCCAGAAGTTTCATGACTAACAGGGCTCTCACGATCTTGCGGGGTTGCACGCAGGAGATCACCGTGGTGAGATCTGCCGCTCTCGCCGGAGACAAACGTGCTCTCATCAGGGAGGCGTTCAGCTCCACCCCGAGAAACACAATCGACTGGGATGGAAAGATGGAGCTCTTTTCCCAGTTTATGGAAAACCCCAGGGTGTCATGGTCTGCGTGAGCCCCTTCCTTTTTTGTGCCTCCTGGTGTCCTCCATCCCTCTCTAGATTCCCTCTTGTGTTTTCTCTTGTGTCCCTTTGTTCCCCAGCTCCTCTTGTGCTCCACTCCAAGTTCCCCCCTTGTGCTCTCTTAGCGCCCTCATGTGTCCTTGTCTGCATCCCTGTTATGTGTCTTATGCTGTAGCTCTTTGGCGCCCTCATGTGTCCTTTTTCTGCATGTCAGTTTAGTGTCTTTTGTTATCTTTTCTACTCTTTCCTCCCAGGTCAGCTCCAGCCTCGTTGTCCCCAGCTCAGTGTGTGTGGGTGTATGTGCTATGTCCTCCTCCAGCTATTGTGTGAGTCCTTCTCTCTGTCTTTAGGTAATTGTTGTTTAGTTTTGTGTTCAGGCATTTGCCCTCCTCTGTTTCTGTTTTCCCCGTTGAGTTGATTAGTGTCACCTGCCTTCCCTCCAGCCCTCACTCCACACACCTGCTTCCTGTTTCCTTGATTTGTCTCCCAGTCTATTTAAGCCCGGTATTGTCTCTGTCTTGTGTCGGTCCATTAATGTATCTGTATGTTAATTCTGTCAGTGTTTGCTCGTGCTCTTGGTGAGCTTTGTTTCTCCAGCCTTGGAGTTTTTGGACTTTGGCTCAGTGTTTGTTCGTGCTCTTGATGAGCTTTGTTTCTCCAGCGTTGGAGTTCTGGACTTTAGGCTCGCTGCCTGGATTTACTTTTGTTCCTCCTTCAAAAATAAAGGATTTTACTTTTCATCATCTCTGCCTCGTGTCATCCTGGGTAACTGCATATTTGGGTCCTAACATCCTCAGAACGTGACACAGGGTCTTCCTGGTTTTCTCTGACGCCTTGTCCTTGGACTGGGCACATAGGAGCAGATCGTACAGGTAAAATAAAACCCTCATTCCCGCCATGCGCAATGGCTGCAGAGTGGTCTCCAGACATTTGGAGAAGGTGCGCGGGGCTAGCGAGTAGCCGAAAGAGAGACAATTGAACTGGTATTGAACTCCCTTGAATGAAAAGCGCAGGAACTTCCGGTGTTTGAGAATCACTGGGATGTGGAAGTATGCGTCTTTCAGGTCTATTGACGTGAACCAGACCCCGGAGCGCACATATTCTAGGACTTGCCTCATTGTCAACATGCGGAAATGCATCACTGCTATGGAGCAGTTGACCAGGGAAAGGTTGAGAATTGGTCTCATTCCTCCCGACTTCTTCGGTACTACGAAGTAGCGGTAGTAGAAGCCTGAGAGCTCTTGTCCACGAGGGACTTGGGAAATGGCGTCCTTGGACAGAAGTTCACGCAGCTCCAGCTCCAGGGTCTGAGATTGTTCCTGTGACGTGAACGTCGTCTCCACGATCCAGTTGAAGGGAGGAGGAGCGGCCTGAAAATGGAGTGTGTGTCCGCAATGAATGGTCTCCGATATCCATTTGCTCATGAGACAAAGGCGGCGCCTTTCTTGCGCATGTTCCGACAGCGGACGCGTGTTCGAGGTCACGTGAACGACGTCTGAGGATTGGGTTCGCGCCCTTACCGCCGTCGCTCACACCAGAGAACTGGGAGCGACCCATGGATGGCTGCGCTCGAAAGGGCGAGTGTGAAACAGCTGGAAGAGGCTGATCTGCACCGCAGAGCGTGGAGTCCAAAGTTAAAGGATGAGTGGGAGCCGGGCCCATGCACAGGGACAACAAAGTGCCAGCGGATGGAGCAGCGCACTGTGTCGCCGCGCGTGGTCGCGACAGCGTCATGACATCCCGTCCCACCCAAGGGCTAAGACTAGAAAAATAGAACTATCTCACGTGTGAGAGAGAGTTTCTGCTGGAATAGTAGTGACTCTACTCAGAGCTCCTACCGGAAATCAGAGCTTCTCAGCTTATAACAGCCTGAGCGGGGTATGGGTGGGCGTGGCCAGCCCCGACAGGTTTTCGTAAAGTGACAGAGCCCTGAAACAGCTCACTGGAAGGTACTGAAACTTTCAAGAACCAACCAGCTGAAAATGCTTCACGTGAGAGGGATTTGGAGCAGACTTTCAAAAACATGTTTTGTATTACTAAATATATTCACTCATAGTACTGTAAGTTAAAGTAACTTGAATTTATAAAACCACCTACCTAAGATGGCGATAACTTCATCATCCTGGATGACCTCCAGTGACCCAGACACAACAAAGCAGAGGGTGTCAACACTCTCCCCAGAATGGTAGATCAGGTCTCCCGGAGCACAGTGGATGGTCTGAAACTCCACAGCCAGGGAGCGCAGGCAGCCATCACTGGCTAAACGAAATGCCGGATGTTCGTTGAACACCTGAATGTGATGAAATGAGTTCTGACTTTTAGAGATTATTCTGTTTACATGAATCATGGAACAGTACAGGCAGAATTGTTTTTGGTTCATATGGCAAGATAATGCCGTTTATTGACCAGATTCTGTGGTAATCAACGCCCGGATCACTGTGACGGCTGTAGAGATAATTTTATCAGATATCCAGAATCAGCTTTTTCGTCACTGCACCAGCATTGTGGAGCAATCCTGGGGTAGCTTTGCTTTGCAAAAAAAAAAAAAAAGCCCTCAACATATAAACACAAAACTTCAGACAGTTCACAGACATGAGTCTCCAAGAGGCAGATTAGGTGAGGGCCGGTCTTCAGTCCCTCAGTAATTCCAATAACTGGGTTTAAGTGTGTCCATACCCTGCAGTAACTTTCTCCAAGATCACAGTCATTTTCTGTGCTAACGCCGGAATCGTAGCTAGGACCCCTAGCTTGCGATTTAACTCCAGCAACATCTGAGTGGTCCTGCATGGCTAAGACTTGAGTTAAGGTGACACTCCAATAGCCCCCGACTTCCCAAATTTCTGAAATACCAGAAATCGTCCCATTCCAATCAGAAGAGATGCAGTAATCATAAATCCAAAATTTCATGTATCTTCAATGTCAGCTGGGAGAGGGATATAATATCCCACTCTTTCCAGGAATCTAAAACAGAAAGACTTACCAGAGAAAGCAAGACATTGGATTTGTCTTATGCAAATGTAAAGAATGCATACATGTCCAAAACTAGACCTCCTCTGGAACACTCAGATCACAGTCTTATTTTTCTCTGCTCAGAATACAAACCACTTGTTCAGAGGCAACCTGTGACAAGATGAAATGTGAGAAAATGGTCACAGGATGCTGAAGAAGCCCTGCAGGGTTGTTTTGAGACCACAGATTGGATGACTCTCTGCCAAGGATATGAAGAGGACATCAATGCCATGACTGGATGTGTCAATGACTATATAAACTTTTGTGTGGACTACATCATACCCACCATAACAGTGAGATGCTTCGCTAATAGCAAACCCTGGATCACCAGTGAACTGAAGAATCTGCTAAATGAGAAAAAAAGAGCCTTCAAGGTGGGAGACAGGGAATTATTGAGGAGTATACAGAAGCAACTGAAGATCAAGATCAGAGACAGCAATGAGGCATACAGGAAGAAGCTGGAGAACAAACTACAGAGGAACAATATCAGAGATGTCTGTTAAGGGATGATGAAGATCACAGGCTTCAAGCAGAGGGAGGATTGCACAGATGGCAGCCTGGACACAGCCAATGAGCTGAACAAGTTCTTCAATAGGCTCAGTTCAGGAACAAACCCAGCATCCTCCTCATCTGTCCCAGCCAATCAGACATCCCATCCTCCTCTGATCCAACATTTTCCTGTCACACGTCAGCTCTTTTGTCCTCTAACGCAGTCATGGACTCTTCTGGTTCTATAAATCTGTCTTCAACCAAGTCAGGAGATGCTGCTGCCCCATTTACCTCCCCTCCCACCTATTTTTCTCTAGAAATCAGGTGAAGAGGCAGCTGGAGAGACTGAACAGGAACATGGCTGCAGGTCCACATGGTGTCAGCACCAGAGTACTGAAGGCCTGTGCAGAGCAGCTCTGTGGGATTCTGCAGCACCTTTTCAACCTCAGCCTGGCCCAGGAGAAGGTTCCAGTCCTGTGGAAGACATCCTACCTTGTTCCAGTTCCAAAGAAAACTCGCCCATCAGTCAATGACGACTACAGACCGGTTGCCCTGACATCCCACATCATGAAGGTCCTGGAGAGACTCCTGTTGGTCCACCTGAATAAGCAAACTAGGACATATCAGGACCCACTGCAGTTTGCTTATCGCCATGGAGTTGGAGTTGAAGATGCCATCATCCAGCTGCTTCAACCAATCCACTGTCATCTGGACAAAGCAGGCAGCACTGTGAGAGTCCTGTTCTTTGATTTCTCCAGTGCATTTAACACAATCCAGCCTGATGTACTTTGCCAGAAACTCCAGAAGACACAGGTGGGGGCTTCAACTATCACCTGGATTAAAGACTACCTGACAAACAGACCACAGTTTGTGAGGCTGAAGAACTGCACATCAAACCAGGCGAACATTGGAGCACCACAGGGGACTGTACTCTCACCATTCCTTTTCACCCTGTACACCTCAGACTTCCAGTACAAATCAGAGACCTGTCATCTACAGAAACACTCAGATGACTCTGCAGTTGTCGGGTGTATCAGAGATGGACAGGAAGCTGAGTACACCGAGCTGGTGGAGTGCTTTGTGGCATGGTGTGGAAACAATCATCTGACCTTGAACGTGAACAAAACAAAGGAGATGATTTTAGACATCAGAAGGAACAGGGTGGAGTCAAACACTGTTTCCATCATGGGAGAAGAAGTGGAGGTGGTTGAGGAATACAAATACCTTGGAGTTCACCTCGACAACAGACTGGACTGGAGAAAGAACAGCGAAGCCGTTTACAAGAAGGGACACAGCAGACTGCACTTCTTGAGGATGCTTAGGTCCTTCAATGTCTGTAGCAAGATGCTGCAGATCTTCTACAAGTCTGTTATTGAGAGTGTAATCTCTTCAGCCATCGTCTGTTGGGGTAGCAGCATCAGAAGCAGGGACCTGAAAAGCCTCAACAGCCTAATAAAAAAGGCTGGTTCTGTTCTGGGGACGACGGTGGAACCGCTGGAGGAGATAATGCAAAGAAGGATTCTCCAGAGAATCAAGAAAATGATGGACAACCCTGAGCATTCTCTTCACAAGACTGTCCGACAACGGAAGAGTGTCTTCAGTCAGAGGCTTCTTCAGTTTCACTGCAACACTGACTGCCATTGGAGATCCTTCCTGCCAACAGCCATTGTAATACACAATAACTCTTTGATGACTTTATTATTCTTTTTATTCTGAGCTACTTCAGCAATCCATTTCCCTCTGGAATTAATAAAGTATTTTTGAATTGAGTTGAATTAAAATACACCCCACTGGGTTTGTTCTGTCCAGACAAGATGGAGTCCCCCGCACGGTTCTCATTGTGGAAAAAATCTTATCAATCGCATTGAACGACCAGCTAACCAAATCCATGATTTAATGAAAATGTGCGTTTTCAGGAGGAATGCAGAGAAATGCTCTGGTAGACAGACAGGACAAGAGCCTTGGAAAAAGATGTGGGAGGAGAGAAGAAAAACTGTCTGTGTTCCTCGAGTGCCTGAAGAAGACTTTCCTGCTGTGAGTTGTATGTTAAGAGTGCTCTGATCTGTTCAGAAGGAAAGATGCTCCAATCATAATTTGGAATATTCACCATGTTGGATCGTCGTGGCGTGATAGAGCTGCATGTGGGGTGTACCCAATGCTGCCTGTTGAATTTAACATGTAGCCAATCAGAAAGTGAGGTGATGGGGAATTGAAATCTTCCTCCTCATCCATCGTGTTTATTCACTTCAAAGTCGCGCTTGATCTCCGGACATTTCACAAGATTTCCCTTCTGTTATTTTTTTATATTTAAACATTTAAAATTTTTATTCCTCCGATGTGAATGGGGGCTTAGTAAGAAGTGGTCTGAGCAGAAAGATCAGTTCATGTTGAATGGATTACTTCATGACAGCCAAGGTTTTTGTAAATAAACAAAGATGTTTAAATGCTGACAAACTGTTTTTGTTGGTTTGTTTTTCAAAAAGCTACATCACTGCATCTGTGACTTTATTGCTTCTTTGTTAAATTTTGTTTCCTTGACCAACTCAGATTAAACTGCAAACGCATTCAGACAAACAAATAATATTTGAGACTAAACTGTAGTAATTAGTCTTCATCTGTTTGCAGATACATCATCTGTCAACGTCCAAAACCGAGTCCAACTCCGTGTGCCTCTACTTCACATCTCTTCTCATATTTTTGCATCTAAAGTTAGTCATCAAATGTCCCACCCCAAAGAGACATCAACTTTAACCTGTGGACTTTATTGTTTAGCCAAGGAAAGATAACAAAGTTGTTTTTTCTGTCAACGCCTCTGAGCAAACGTTCATCGACGTCATATTATTTACAATCAGAATTAATGAGCAGATATGTTTTTTAATCCAAATAACCCAAACAACTTTTTATATCTGTATTTTAACACTGGATCTTTTAGCCAAACTATGAGCCGCTGCAACTACGTGCAAAAATAAAAATAACAGTGGCCTTTAAAACTGAATGACTGGATATAACAGGTCTGACCTGATGGGAGACCTCTGTATCAACGCCTCGTAATCACGTAATAAAAAATAACCGAAAAATCAAACACTCAACCTACTAAGTTTTTGTAAGAGAGCAGAGGACACTTGCCTTCCTGTTGAGATGTACACAGATGTCTGCTCTCATGTCCTTGGGACAGATGGATAAGACCTAAAACAGAAGAAGACATGTCATGTTCCTAAGTTTCACTTTGAGAGTAGAGCGCAGCCACAACCAGATGTTTAAGCTTATAGAGGCTCGCTGACCCTTAAGGTCTTTATTTCATATGGTAATTAAATGTTTTTACCACTTTGATTTTAAAAAGACCATTTGGTTAAAAATATGTACATCAGTCGAAAGGATGGGATCACAAAAAGCTCAACTGTGCATCCTGTCCACTAGTAAAAATACTAATAAATGAGTGTTTTAATAGGGTGAAGGATCTCCGTGGTGTGAAAGGACAGACTGACCTGTGGACTCTTACCTTTTCAGTGTCGATGCCTTTAGACATGGACCAGGTGGAGACAATGTAGTCCATGACTCTTTCACTCAGACCTTTGGGAACCTGGTACAGCTTCAGGAAGTCCCTGACGTTGTTGAGCATCTCATGGTAGCGGTTGGTGTTGGCGTACATCTGCTGGAAGATGGTCGTCACGTTTCCAAAGATGGTGGCATAAAGAAGGGCTAAAAAAGAATTCAAACAAACAGCATCTTTACTCATAATACAACATAACCAAAGTATTAAAATACACAAAAATACATGAGAAACTACAAGCCTTTATCCCACAGCAATAAACATCCACACGCATTGTGTGTGTGTGTCCCTCGTGATCAGTAACTTATCATTCGGGTCAGGTAATTGTCATGGTCTGCGTCTGCGTCTTCCTTCATGTGTCTCCTGATGTTTCTCCATCCCTCTCTAGAGTCCCTTCTGTTTCTCATAGCGCTCTCATGTGTCCTTTGTCTGCGTCTCATTTAGGTGTCTTCTGTTTGTAGCCCTTTTAAGTCAATTCCTCCCAGGTCCTGTGTCAGTCATTCATCCCAAACCCCTCCAGGTCTTCCTTCACGTTCTGTAGCTCCAGCCTCTTCGTCCCCAGCTCGGTTTGTATGTGTGTGTGTGTGTGTGTGTGTGTGTGTGTGTGTGTGTGTGTGTGTGTGTGTGTGTGTGTGTGTGTGTGTGTGTGCGTGTGTGTGTGTGTGTCATTCCCCTGCTCAGTGTGTGTGTGTGTGTGTGTGTGTGTGTGTGTGTGTGTGTGTGTGTGTGTGTGTGTGTGTGTGTGTATTCATGTGTTTGTGTGTGTGTGTGTGTGTGTGTGTGTGTGTGTGTGTGTGTGTGTGTATGCGTGTGTGTGTGTGTGTGTGTGTGTGTGTGTGTGTGTGTGTGTGTGTGTATGCATGTCCATTCCCCAGTTTCAGTGTATGTATGTGTGAGTGTCAGTGTGTGTGTGTGTGTGTGTATGTGTGAGTCCTTCCCTCAGTCTCTAGGTTTAGTTTTTGTGTTTTAGGTTTATCTGTCCTCCTTTGGTTCTGTGTCCCCATTTAGATAAATTATTGTCACCTGCCTTCCCTCCAGCCCTCACCCCACACACCTGCTGCCATTTTTCCTAATTACTCCTCCCTGTGTATATAAGCCCTGTCTTGTCTCTGTCTTGTGTCGGTCCATTGTGGTTATTCTGTCAAGTCTTCTCTAGTCTCCAGTGTTTTTTTTTTTATCTCAGCGTTCTCTAGCCTCTTGTGTCTTTGTCTCTAGTTTTTGGACAGCCTTTGGATTTATTGGCTCCCAGCCTTTTGGGATTTATTTTATTTTTGACTCATCCAAATAAAGGATATTTTTTATATCACCTCCTGCCTCGTGTCATCTTGGGTTCCTGCATTTTGGGTCCTACCAACCTCCAGCATATCGTGACAGTAATAAGTCATAGAAATACAACAAACTACAAATAATAAACTACAGACATCAAACCGGACACGTTTCAGATCGTAGGAGGAAAGATGAACAGACCATGAAGCCCGGGGTTTGGGGGGCTGATCATGTTTTATTGTTTTGTATGTTTTAACATTAAACGTAACCAATAACTGTTTCCATATGAAACAATCTTACTTCAAATTACAGCAGCTTTAATACACATTTTCACGAGTAAGCACACGCACTCTCCCTCTCCAGCAGCTGTGTAGCTTGCCCTGAGTAATGAGTCAAAACTGTTCATTTTCATCTTAGCGAGTCTCTTAAGGTATGTGTGAATCTGACATGCTTAGCGCCTCACCCCCACCCCTCGTCGTGACCTAAGCGTAAGAATCCATGAGTTGGAAACCATTTCTATCAGAGAAACACAAACATCCAGACCTGTGTCTTTCAGACCACGTGTGTGTGACTCCTCTGCACCTCGGTGCTTGATGGTGTAACATTTTCACAGATTTGCAGCAGTGTGTATGGACCAGTTCACCATGTACCCATACATACGGCAACCATGTGTTCTGCAGAGTAGGACTAACCCTTCCTGGATGATGGAGCGCCTCTCCTTCTTTCTAAGGCTGAGCCAGAACACCTTATGGAGGAAGCTTATTTCAGCTGTAATCTTATTACTGCAAACCAGCCTCAATCTCTTCATACTGTGTCAATTCTTAAACAGGAGACCAAAATGCTCCCCTTGAAGAAAAGACTCAGTCCCAATCCAGAGGGACCGTTTGTCCAATTGAGAACATTGGTCTGAAACCTTAAGGAGCTGCCTCTCATAGACGTCGTACTCAGAAACGTTCCAGTGCACACTGAAGGCAACATTTTAAAGTGGCTAACTGAATTATCTGAGGATCCTGGAACAGAAACGTTGCTCTTGACAACAAAACCTAACCCTAAAACCACAAACATGATAAATGATGCAGGGCAGGGTAGCTTTGAAACTACATCTGTAATGAGCCTTCAGCAGTCCTTTGTTCATGGCTGACTGCTTTTCTTGTTTGTCTGGAGAGGCGAGCTGACCCATCCTATTACTAGGTAACAGGTACGGGGGCCTGCAGCGACCAAAACACCTCAGAAACTACCGTGAATCTTTCTTTGCTTGCTGACATGAGTGAATACTTTGATATTTCAGTCCTGTTTGCCTTTGCAACTCTAACAACTGTTTGCTGCGTGTCCCACATATCAGGATAGATGTTTTTTGTCCTGGACCAGAAAAGCATACAGTTATTATCCACCAAGTGCGGAAGGAGCAGCTGAAATCATGGTTGTATTTAAGAGTAAGTCATTGCACCAGGACAGTCTGAACGACCATTTGACGGTCCATCACCAGTTCATGCAACGTCTGAATGGTGCACCACAACTCTTATGGTTCTAAAGTGGTGTGGAGGGGCCTGCTCTCCAGGGACCCCAAGTAGACTGGATTAGTAGATCTTCTGTTGGCTGCAGCCTCAAACTACCTGGAAGGCAACCCTCTTGCCAATTGAGGACAAGTCTGAAAAATGACTCAACGACTCTCCATACATGCAGTGGCTCCCTGGAACCAAAGCTAAGACACCTGGTATATGTCTGAGAGCTTTCTCCTCACCCACACCTGGTGCTAGGAGGGTGCTACAATTTCCTTGATCCTAGAGCTAACTCGTTGTTGTGAATTTTATTCATTAAGGTTTGGAATAAATCTTCCTTCCCTAATTCCAGTTTTCATAGCAGATCTTATTAACACTTACATCCCAGACAGCAGCCCCAAAACCTACTGGGGTCTTTTCAACGACATAACGGCTGTTTTACTGCGAGGATAGTTAAAGCTTTACTACACATAGCAACATGTCTAGTAAAATAAATCTATTATGTTGTTTTGATGATCCAGACTACTTCATTTGTCTGCATTTAGCATGCTTCCTATCCACATTAAAACTTTTTCTCTCATCGATTGTCATGAGTTCCCGATCTACGGTATACTGACCTAACTCTTAACCCGTAGGGTAAAGACAGGAAAAACCGATATGTGATTTAGAACATGCCTGATATGTTTTAAATGTGGGTAAACGTTCTACGATGATGCCTGTGAGGCGCATGTCCTCGTAAACATGACGGCTGCCATGCTTCCACTTTCCCAGAGCCTCGCTCATAATAGTTCTTCTTTGCCTTCACTGATGATATTAATGTTAAAGAAAAAATAAAACTTAAAAATATCTAAACTGATCAGTGTGTGTGTGTGTGTGTGTGTGTGGGGGGGGGGGGGGGGGGCTGTAGGAAAGCGCTCAGTTTTATTCTAATGAGTTTAACTTAAAGGGTTAAAGTACTTTTATTTATTTTTATTTTTTTAACCAAAAAAGCTTTTTACGTTCACAATATTCAAAGACTAAATTAATAAAAATTTTCAGTGCAGTAGATTATGTTTTGGTCTCGACAACAATCCTAGAACACATTTTGCTATCATCCTGAAGCTAGAACAGTACGACATGACGGCTAGTGAGACTAGCTCATTTCCTCTCCATGTTCAGGCTGTTCTTTTTTCCTGTAGTTCTGGTTTATCCTGTGCAAACGGAAGTTGTTCTTCTAAATAACAGAAATTCAGATCATGTCTTCTCCTGCCTGTGCCCGGTCCCATCCATCCTCTCACACACACAACAGCCTACAGAAATCAGATGCTGTCTCTCCTTTATCTTTACAAAACAGACGCATACTGTGCAAACATTTTAGACATGTGAGAAAACAAGGAATGATTTCAGAAAAGATGATTGTTTATTTCTAATCATTTACAAAATGCAAAGTGAGCGACCCCAAACATCCTGCCAAAGTCAATAAGAACTAAAGTCCTGGAAGTGATGGTGTGGCCTCCACAGAGTCCTGATCTCAGCATCATGGAGCACGTCTGGGATCACACAAAGAAACAAAAGGACGTGAGGAAGCCTACATTCACAGAAGATCTGTGGTTTGTTCTTCAACCTATCAGCCCAGGTCCTTCCACATGTGTGCAAGTGTATCTGCAGAATGCTGTTTAGGTTCAATTTCTCTTTTGTTCATTCACTGGTTTGTGTTGATTGATGAAACAAATGATTAACATTTATATTTGTGGTTTACAGCATTACACACACCTGCTCAATGCTGTAAACCCTGAAAAGTTAGATCACATCCACACATGAACGTTCAACAACACTAACCCTTGTTTGAGAACGAGCTTCTAGGTTTGCTTGGGTCTTTTTTTTGCTGGAGCAACCCAGGCTTGTGTGTCCTCCACACGCTGCCAGGGCTGTGTCTGCATAACAGGACTACTGATGAAAAAACACTGCCATGGAGTGCAGTTTGTAACATCAGCATGTAAGCAATATGAAATGATAGACGTTTTAATTTCATCATGTGATATGTGGTCATCGCCCAGCTCTAGCAGAGACACAGCAACTAAATGTGTCTTACTCTAGCAAAGCCACAAAGAGAAAACCTGGATTAGCACACACAAAGAAGCCTACAGTGCAACGCGCCAGCAGATCCATTTCAGTTGTTTCTAAGCCCACGGCCTTCCAAGAACTCCATAACCTTTCCTGGACCCTTTCAGCTGGTGAAGGAAGATTCTGACAACATTCTCTGATTACATTACAGAAAACTGGCGGCGCGTGTAGACGCAGCGACCTCACGCTCTCCTGAAAATGCAGTGTTTTGTTCATCGAGTAAGTGTCTTTCTGCAAGTGTTTCTTGCCAGTCCACGTCGGAATATGTGTACAGTCGTCAG